TAGCACACTTCTGTACAGTGTAGTGTCAGAAAATGCTTCTTCAGTGTCATCTACCTGATAACCGGTTGTCATCGGTGTGTCTACAGGGTTAGCATCCATCAGATTTAGTTTGCTTAACACATCAGCAATTTTCCGTGACTGGTGTACTAGAATGTTACCATCTTGATCTCTCTCTATTTCCAGAGATAGGTAGTTGTTTACCTCACCAAGATCTTTCATGTCAAAGTGCTCTTTCAGTTGAGCTAGGGCGTTATTGTACATTGCGACATCTTCCAAAAGAATAATAAATCATCAACATAAAACAAACAGTACAGTTTCTTTTGCCCCTCCTCTTTGACAAATACACATGGATCAGCTTTCCCTTGCTGAAAACCTAGAGAAAACAATACTTCAGTGAGTTTTGTGTGCCAACACCGTGCACTTTGTTTGAGACCATAAAGGGATTTCTTCAGAGCACAAACAAATCCCTGTTTTACCTGTACGCCATCAGGTGGAAGCATATAAAGTGATTCATCTAGAGATCCGTACAGAAAAGCTGTATTAATATCATGGTGACTAATGTGTAGATTTTCCTCTACAGCTAGCTTGAGCATAAGCCTAATGCTTTCATACCTCACTGTGGGTGAGTAGGTCTCGTGATAGTCTTCACCTGGTACCTGTGCAAAACCTCTGGCTACCAATCTGGCTTTGTGTCTGACTATCTTGCCATTTTGATCTGTCTTCGCTTTGAAGACCCATTTGCTTCCAAGCAGTTTCATTCCTGGAACTACTGGAACTAGCTCCCATGTTTTGTTCCTTTCTAAGGAATCAAGCTCAGCCTTCATGGCATTTAACCATGGCTCAGCTTCCTTTGAATCCAAACCCTGGATTTCTTGGAAACTTGAAGGTTCAAATACCTTCTTGGAGCTTTTAACAGCTGTTACTGCTATCGTAGCAAACTCATCAGCAAATCTCTTTGGAGGTCTGCCTTTTGTGGCTCTCTGTGACCTACGAATTAGCCTTAAGTCTTCAACACTCTCCTCTTCCTTCTTAGGAGAAAAACGACCTACTGTGAACAATGGTTCCTCCAATTCTTGATCAGAGCTTTCAGAGGGTCGCACAGAGTCTTTCGCACTCTTGAAATCCTCTGAATCACCCGATTCAGTTTCAGATTCAGACTCAGAACCTTCATCAGTGGGTGTGGGTTGTTGTGGTTGCTTTTGACTATCCTCAGTCTCATCACCGTCATCAGGATAACATTGGAAAATTCCCACATTCTCCCCCCACTTTGCATTGTACTCAACACTTCTCGTGAGCTTAATTGTCTTAGAGTCAGTCATCATTATTCTGTAAGAACCTTTCTGATAACCTAGAAAGATACCATGCAATCCACGCTTGTCTAACTTGGAATTTTGTGGTGAGTGAACCCACATGTCAGAACCAAAAATTTTCATGTGTTTGATGTATGGCTTCTTGCCAAACATCTTCTCATAGGGGGTACAACCAATCGCTGAAGATAACCTGCGATTGTAACTGTAAACAAAACACGAGAGAGATTCGGCCCAATAACTCTCTGGAAGATTGGCATCATGCAGCAAGGTTTTTAACCCTTGAAGCAATGTCTGATTTGCCCGTTCCGCAAGTCCATTCTGCCATGGCGAGCGAGGACTAGACAAATCGTGTTGAATTCCTTTCTCAGTCAGAAAAGCTTCAAACTGCTGAGAAGTGAATTCTCCCCCGCGATCACTGAAAAGAGTCTTTATTTTCTTACCATGTACATTTTCCAACCAAGCACAGAATTCCTTGAACCTAGGAAAAGCCTCTGATTTCTGCTTGAGATTGTACACAAAAATATATCTGGAAAATGCATCAACGAGAACCATGAAGTACCTATTTCCACCCAAAGAGGGCGCTAGTGGTCCAACCAAATCTGCATGAACAACCTGGTATGGTTCCGTAGCTTGCCTACTAGACACCTTACCTTTCGCAGCCATTTTCACCTTGTTTGCTGCGCATGCTTTGCACTTCATGTGGTACCTGCAGGGTTTAATAGTCATACCTTCAACCAAGGCAGGCATTTTAGATACTGCCTCAAAATGCAAATGACCAAATTTTCTATGAAAATCGTGAATACATTCTGCATGCAAACTTTTGTTAGAACCTGCAATGCAACAAGTGTCATCCTGCACAACATCATCATAATACAAAACAAACAAACGATCAACATATTCAGCATGCAATACATAATCATTTTTCTTTGTGATGATGCACTTCCTGTTCTTGAAGGAAACGTCAATGTTCCGCTCATTCAGCTGTCCAACGCTGAGCAGATTATGTTTGGCGTCTGGCACGTAAAGCACATTCTGTATCGATAAGTCCAAACTGTGAAGAACAACAGTTCCGTAGCCTTTACTGGGAATAGTGTGGTCATCCGCCTGGTGAATCGCACCTTCCTGCGGTGTAAAAGACACAAACAGTCTCTTATCGTTGCACATGTGGTGGGTCGCCGCTGAATCAACAACGAAGAAAGATCTAGACGTCTTCTGGACCTCTGCAACCTTTGGAGTGAAGCGTGAAACCATAGCCTTGTGCTGCGTTGTCCTAGACACCGGACCTTTGCCTTTGCCTCGGCCTTTTCCACGCGATGAGCTTTCGCTGCGCTGCTCTGTCTTGGCCCTGGGATATCTGCATTCCCTCTTCATATGGCCTAGACGTCCACACGAGTAGCATTTCACTGCCTTCAAAGCTTTGGCGCCATCTGGTGGTTCCACTGCACTATGGGATGACGTCTGTGAAGACTCCCCCTTGCCCATGCAGCTAGCACCCCGGCGATCTGCTTCATTTAAAATCACGGCAGTAACAAAGTCCACTGTCAGCTGAGCAGTTGGCTGCACAGCAATCTGGGTTGCAACAGACTCCCAACCTGAACCCAAAGATTGTAGTATCATGAAAGAATACACAGCCTCTGGAAAGTTGAGTCCTCTCTGTTGCAGCTCATGTCTCAGATTTTGCATCTCCATCAGATGTAAACGCACATCTCCACCTTCAGCAAGAGCCATATTATGCAGCTTGTTAAAGTAAAACATAGTGGATCCAGCTTCTGTCCTTAAGTGAGCCTCTCTCAAAGCGTCCCAAATTTCTCTGGCTGAGGTCTTATCACGCAATAGACAGAGCTCTTCCGGGGATACTATTAATGTAAGAGTTCCCCTTGCTTTGGAATCCTTAGCTTCCCATGCATCTGTAACTGGAGCTGGGGGGGTTTCTGTAATCACCTCAAACAAACCCTCTTTCCGCAGAATTGCCTCTGCATACAGAACCCAGTCCGCATAATTTTTCTTGTTGAGCTTAGGAATCCCACAAGCATCCTGAAGGGCCATCATGACTCTGGCATTAGCCTTCAGCGTCATATATGCTGCTTTAAATCTTGCTGCGTCACTGCTGCAGCTGCCTTATTCCAAAAGCACACTTAAAAGTTACTTTCGATTTCCCCAGCATAGTAACTTGTGCCTGGGAGCCTTTTGCCTATTCCCGGCAAAACGGCTTTAAAAGTTCAAAGTCCAGCCATAAAGCCATTAACTAGAAGATGGCAGGCTGCCCGGAGCAGTAGCACATACCTCATCAATCACCTTTACGCGCAGAGCAGATTCCGATCCGATCTGTCCCTCTGCATTCCGATCCTTTGCCGGCACTCCGATTCGACTTCTGGGCCCATAACCACGTGTTGGTGTAAAGCAGAGTCCTGTGCCCAGCAGAAGGATGAGGAGTACGTGCTGCATACTCTATATTGCTTTATTTATAGTTCAAAGCTTGTATATTACAGAAAGACATCTTGCCTCTGCCGGAGCAGAAAATGCATCCTCTCTCCTCGTCAGCTCGGAGAGAATCACCAAGTGAAACTGCAAAGAACAGTGAAAAACAGGAAACCAGTGTACGTCACATCCAGTCTCCCTTTCCCGTGAGAAACTCCAACAGTACAGACTGTGGAATGTAAACACCTGTCTCGTGACAAGCCCTTTCGCTGCACAGTGAAGGAAAGCAGAAACCAACACTGCCTACATGTAGAAAACTATGATAGTTTTCTACATGTAGGAAATTGTTTCCTATGTAGTCTTTTCTAACTGATAGCAGTTCTTCAGGGTTCCAGGAAGAGGTCTTTCCCAGCCTGTAGGTGGACCTGGGACATTCTTTAATACTACTGTGGTCCATAGCTTGACACCTAATTTTAAGCTGAAAGCTCAGCCATTTTAGATTTTCCCAAATGCATTCCAGGCACCAGTTCAGGTTTTCCCATATGCATTTAAGGCACTCCAAAGGCACAAACAAACACCTGAGTGTCACACATGCAAATATATAGTGCTTTCCCCCCCTTTAAACAAATGTTTAGGGGTTGTCTCATTTTCCTACTCATATTGAAATATTGCCCCTCAGTGAGGCCAAACTTAAGATTCACAAAATGTTTAGGGGTATGCGTCCAGCCGCGTCCCCCCAGAAAAAAAAGCACTGTGTGTGTGTGTGTGTTATATATAAATCTGGAATGTGCATCTTCTGGTCAAGGCGACCTTCATTTTGTATGCAAATGTAGGACAAGTGCAAGAAATGCAATGAAAAGGGTGTGGGTGTGTGAAAAGAAAAGTCTTTTGGGAAGACACCCTTAGCTCCTCCCTATAACCTGCATGCTGGATAATGGCCTTCTTCGCCCAACTAGGTGCGCGCAAGGACTGTGTCAATGACAAACAGGAGAGCTCGGTCCTACTCGACCGGCTCTCCCACGCTTTGTTCCGAGGTGACTTGTGGTGGGAGAGAAGAGAGCTGCTGCTGCTGCTTCCTTGCTCACAACGGCACTTTCTGTGGAGATTTCTCTCCCCCCCCCCGCCCCCCCATCCGAGCTGCATATGCGTATGAAATGAAGAGCAAGGTTGTCTCTTCTCTTGTCATCTGCGCCCTCAGGAAACGTTGCCTCTCGCCGAGCCTCGGCTGCAGTGCCCTTCTGCGCGCGCCTTCCTGGATCTGGGGTGGGCCGCTGGAAGTGAGGCGTGAACAGAGCTCTTCTCCCCTCAGGGGGGGCGGGCAGGGGAAGAAGCCGGGCACCGGTCGCCTATTGTCACATCGCATCCATTTGCAGCGTGTGCACGGGAGCGCAGCGCCCAGCTCGCTCTCTCTCTCTCTCCCTCTCCTCCTCTCCATTCCCTTCCCCTTTCCCAAGCAAGTTGCGAGGCGCCCTTGCCGTTGCGCACCGGACCTTTCCACATCCCCAGCCCAACTTTCACGTCGCCTGGCTCCAAAACAAACATGACGGATTACAAAAGTGGCGGCGGAGGGAGGAGCAGCAGCAGCAGCCGCAGCCGCGCCGACCCTTTGGAACTGAGGCTGGGGTAGTAGCGGGGAAGCAGGGAGGCGCGCGGAGGAGAGCGCGAGACCGACGCCGTCTCCGGCTGAAAAGCTCGCCAAGCCCCGCGCCACCTCACACTGCCGCGGTCGCAGGTAAGGAGAAGCTTCGTTGCCCCTCTGCCCCATTGAGGGATAAGTAAACAAGGGCTGTTTTTTTGGGGGGGGGCTTGTGCGTCTGGTTGCCGCCTGTTGGGGTGTTTTGAGGGAGACGTGAGGCGGCCTCAGCGCTCACAAGGTTAATTTGTTCGCCTGCTTCCCTCTCAACTTTGAAGGAACCATTCTCTCTGCGCGCTTACTAGGGAGCAAGTCCCCCATTGGAGACGGGGAGGCTTGTTTCCCCGGGAAAATGTCGAGGAGCCGGAGTTAACCCCTTCCTCTCCTTCTGCGCCCCTTCCAGTGCCTCTCGGCTGTGTGAATGAAGGAACAAAATAAAGGGGGAGGGAAATAACTTTTAACAACTAGGAAAGAGGCACCTCTGTGTTACCAGGGAGCGTGTTTGAAATTAGTTATTCCTGAGAGATGCATGCCTGGGAGGGTGCAGCAGAACAGACACACTTTGTGCAAGTAAAATGCCATCGATTTCACGGTGCAAGTCACCGCGTTTAGCATTTTAGCCGTCGGGGTTCATTCTCGCCGAGGGGAAGCCCATCCATGCCCTGTGCAAATTGTATGTGGCAAGGTCAGGACTTTACCTTGTCAATGGAAGGTGAATTCAAGTCTTTCTGCCTTCTTCCTGAGCACACATTCTCCTCACAGTCTGGTCTTCTTTGGGTGTTGCCTCTGATATGCACATCTTTGTCCTCTCCTTCAGAGAAGAATTCAGTGGCAAAGCAAGATTGTGTTTGGGGTCCCCACAAAAGAGACTGACCCAGCCTCTGTATGCCTGAACTATGTGTGCAAAGAATAAGATCTAGCAATCCATGGACACAAGTTTCTTCCTCTGTTAGGGAAGGCTGAGAAATAAAAATAAAAGGTGGGTGGGGAAAATAAATTCCCTGTTGTTCCCACTTGTCTTTTAAGTTGCCTTTTATCAATTGCTTATGCTTTGGTAACAAAGAATTCAGTGAACTCTGAAATAAGACCCATGGCAAGTAGCTCAGGTAGAAGAACAAATGGGGAGTATTCCATTGAGTACGCTGGAAAACCTTGACAACAGGCAGCTCCTCTTGGAGAGTTCTGGTATTTGTTTTTAGCTGCACTGTATATAGTTTATGTTGGATAAGGAAAGAAATGGTTTACTCCTCCCGTCAATGATGGGGAATTTCTGGCTTTTATGCTGCTGCTGTTCTTTTTGAACCTTTAATAGAAAGTCAACAGGTGCAAGGGCCTTGCCAGGAAAAAGTACAGCAATTCTTGCTCCCCAAATTGTCATCATAACAATCTACAATTGTAACATTGTAAAGTAGAGTCTACCTCTACTTTAAGAGGTAGACTCTTAATTTCACATTTCGGACCCAGGCCTTCACTAAGAGAAATGGAGGTAATTAATATGCTCTATCCACACATCGTACTGCTAATGCAGGTTGTGTTGCCCCATCATATCAAGTGCTCGAGGAAAAGTTTGGTGTTTGTGAAGAAATTTGGGGTTTCCACAATCTTGACATAGTAAGGCAGTTTAGGAGCATGGAGTTTTGGTACTTGAAGCTGAAACGTGTGTTTATGGGGGCTTCCCCTCCATTCTTCGACTTTGCCTAGTATAAACAGGGCAAGAAAAAGTTGTAATTCCACACAGCCCTTCAAATGCTGCTTCCGCTTCGCTGCCTAGCCAGAGGCAATACTGTGAGCAGTAAAACTTCCTGATATTTTCAGGTCACATTACTCCCATTAATTGCATGCATTAATGCTGCTATCATTCTTTTTAACCAGTAGCTAAGTCCCTGTTTTAAAGAGCTGAATTGAGATTTAGGCTGTGAAGTATGCTTCAGTGGCTGCAACATCACTGCACTCAGCTTTCATAGCACCAGTTTTCTATGGAGAGCTTGCTCATAACTGAACCAAAACTGGACTGTTTGCTGCATGACAGTTTCTAAGAAAACGGATTATATGGTCACCTCTTAGACCATACAAAAGGAATATGTATTAATCAGTTTGCCTGATAGGAAAGGAATCCACTGAGTTCAAATCCTGATGCATTTCCCCCCAAAGACTTCTCAAGAGGATATTGCAGGCTAGTTACCTCTAGTTTCATACTCAGTTCAGCTCTCTGAAGTCTATCCATATATGCATTTGCACTGGACTTTAAACTGAGGGTCTGGCTCTAGTACGCATGCAGCAAAGGAGAGTGATAAAATGGGCGGTGCTAATTCAGACTGCGGGTGGGAGATGCCATTTCTGAATGCATAAATTCCTTCCAGGTATACGTCTAGCACTGTGAGCTGGGCTGCTATAATATTTTTCTCAGGTGCTCTAGCTTTTTACTTGGTAAGACCTTTTTTCCACACAAGGAAGCATTCAAAGTATGGGGTCTCCTAATGGCAGCTTGAAGTGCTGCACTCCATTCCTTGTTTCTACCACTTAATTCTTCTGCAAGTGTAGACCATGCCTGAGGAAGGAGTTAAAGTGATGGGGTCACACACACACACACACACACACACACACACACGGCAGTAGTAAATTAACTTTCTTTGTGCATCTTCCCTTCCCAAGGTACCACTGTGCTTCTCTCAGGAGGGTGTACCGAATACTTCTTAGCCTGTGCTTAACCCCTTTTTGGCTCAAGGGGCACATTCCCTATTGACTAACCCTCTGTCTGAAGGCTGAATGCTAGCAGTCTGTGTGGCCATATTCAAAGTGGGTGTGGCCAAAGTGGATGAGGGGGTAGCTCTTTTTCAAAGTCACAGAGAGGAAGACACAAACACACACACAATCACACACGCAGATGATAGACACACTCTCATACATAACAAGCAGCAGACTCACTTTTTCCACACACACACTCTCTCACTGTTCACTATTCACCTATATTGCCTCTTTACCCTGCCCATCAGATCAATCTGATGAGGTTTGCTTTTACTTTGTGGGAGATGCTAGTGGAACCATCAAGTGTTAAATCTTCCCACTTGCCTTCCCTTCTCCTCCCACATCCTATTCCCAGGACCCTTATGAGGATAAGAAATACTGCTTAAGTATTTAATACTGGGGGGCTAGATCTGGCCCAGGGGTCACCAGTTAGCCACCCCTGGCCATTCATTCATTCATTCATTCATTTATCCGCCTTATACCCAGAGGTCTCAGGGTGGTTCACAGAACAAAATCAAAATATAAAACTACAAAATATATAATCAAAATAAAAAACAACCCAATACCCCACCCCGCCTTGCTTACAGGGAAAGAAAAGGGCACACTGTGTCATTATATGATTTAGTGTCTTTTTTGGGGTGGGGGCATAAACCCATGGATTGAGAAAGGATGGTGCTGGACCATGATGCCTTAATGCTTACACGGATTTGGATGAAGTAGTATGGGAGTACTGGAAATGGATAAGAGCTGGGATAATCTTGGTGAGGACCTAGTTCAGGTGAAAAACCTTAGAAGGGTTTTATTGTTGTTGTTTTTTATGGGAGCCTCCCAAGTGGATATTCCTTTGAATCACACTGTTCCTTAACTTTTTCTGTCATTGTTTGTCCTGTATCCAGTCCAGCCTTTCTGTGTCCTATTTGACCTTGTTCAGCTAGACTGGTTTATTACGAGAGAGAGAGAAAGAGAGAGAGAGAGATAGATCAAAAAGCAACTAGGTCTATTACAACATTTTCTTTCATGCTTACTTTCCAAAGAAACAAACAAAAAAGTAATGCGTTGGTTAATGTGTAATTTAACACAGGGCAGATGACTATATGATGAAAGAGTGATAGTTAATGTCAACGGTCCATTTACACATTTCCCGCCTATGTTCTGCTTTTTGTCTGACTTTACTTCCGATTCCACCTTAGTGGGTCATGTCAATCAGAAGTGGGTGGATCTTCATAACCAGAGGGACAAGAGACTTTCCCAGTGGAGAATTATCACTGCAGGCAGAATCCAAGGCTTAATTTAGAACTTTAAGGAGTAATACCAGAAATCATCTCTGGAACATAACAAAGTCATTACAAAGAATTGAGTGCATCTGAGCATGTGATTTCTTTTCCACAACTGAGTAACTACAGTCAGGCCAACATGCAATGTTGAATTGAAGGTAAGGTATTTTAGAGGATAGAGTGTGGCCTCCTTGGATGTTGCAGACTTGTCTCTGTAGAAAGGAAGCACTAGAAAGGTGGCTTGCTGAGTTCCCAGGGCTATCGGATGCTGGTATCTAGCCAGTCCTATTGTTTTTAGCTGCCATTGTTGTGTGTTTTATTGGTTTTTAGTTATTCTGTTATGTGATGGTTTATTTTAAGTTCTATTCCCTGCCATGGTATTTATGTACAAAAGTGGGATATAAATATTTTAAATAAATGAGAAAATAAATTTGTGATTTATCTATTTATTATTAGAAAATAGGCATTGAAGGGAGATGGCTACAATGGCAAGCCTCAAACTGCTTTCTAGGCCTTTGAGGTTCTTGCATTTTTCCCAAGGGAACAGCCACCATACACCAACTAGACACCACATCAGATGGCTCATGACTGGTTTCCCTTCTGATGCTGAGGGAAAGGTGGCTGGTGAAGACAAGAGACTTCTTCTCAGCTGCACTACATAGCTTTTCTGACTGCGTATAAAAGAAACAACAACAACAATAATAGTAATAATAATAATATTTATACCTCACCCATCTCAGGGTGGCTTACAGTACATATAACAATTGTAGCAAAGGTCGTCTCCTCCTTCCTCTGTGCACCCTCCAAATCTCTTCTAGGTTTTGAGGAGGACTAAGGACACACACAGGTGAGGAGAGTGGGGAAATCCTTGTGTTGATGGGACATGGTAGTTGAAAACTGCCCAATAATTTGCAGTCCATGGCATTCTGATGTCAGCGTGGTGCTTGTTATTACTCCCTCAAAGGCCCCCACCTCTCTTTATTAGCTGCTTATCCTTACTAAAATGTGCACAGATGTGGGTAACAGAACTTACCTATGTGCCTTTGGGTGTACCTGCCATCTCATTTAAATGGGAACCTC